CACACACACACACACACACACACACACACACACACACACACACACACACACACACACATTGGGTTTCTATGTTTTATGGGTTCATTCCATAGACATAGCTAATGATTTTTATACTGTGCAAACTGCCTCTCTTTCAGAAACGGGCTTGACTTGCCCTGCTTTCTCGGGTTTCACAAACCTCCCAGAGTTTCCCTCATTTCAGGGTTGACATACTCAGAGTTTGCACTTAACCTCCTTTCTGAAACGGGCCTCTGCTTGTTTGTCACGGAGGTCAAAGGAAGTCAAACACTATTTACATGTTTTCAAACAACCATTCAGATTTTTTTTTTATTCACTTTGGTTTATCAAATAACGTCAAATATTTAAATATGCCATATCTTTATTCAAACATTGGTTTACACTTATAATTTTTTTGCATTTTAATCAGGAATAAAACATGCCAGCCTAGAAAACAGATTATTCTGTATTATTATTGATAATAATACTAATACTACTAAATTATTCTCTTTATTTTTCATAACCCATTTTCATACATTTTTCTGAAAGCAATGGTTAAACTTTTAAATAGTTTTTAAAAAATTGTTAAAAATGTTAAAAGTGCTTAATACATAAATATATCTTCATATTTGTGTATTGAAAGATAAATACTGAGTAGGTTTTGATTGGTAATTTTTTGCACCAGGGTTATTATAGTTAACTAAAATAAAAAAAAAAAAAACATTTTCGTTGCTTGAAATAAAATAAATGTTAACTGAAATAAAATACTTAAACTGTTTTATTTTAGCTAGTTGACAAGGTAACATTTCACATTTTCATTTAGTTTATCTTGATGTTCTAAAATAACTAAAACGGAAATAACATGTAATAACTATATATACATTTAAAAACACAAAACTAATAAAAACAACAATTACTAAAACTTTACATAAAATGAAAATGGCAGCAGAAAACATAAAAATAATTCAAAATAGCCTATTAACAAAAACTATAATAGTACCTGAATGATACTAAAATAAAATTGCTTCACAATAAGGTGTCAGTGTAAGATATGGGGGGCCCTCTTTTGAAAATCTGCTTAGGGCCCCTAAAATGCTAGGAATGTATTCTTGGGCAATTGGGAATAAAGTTTGCATCTTTCCATCTAATAAGCCTACAGTATGATGTTATTGACTGCATGTTACAGAGGCAGTCCACCGGCGGTGTGTTGAGCCGGTTCTGATTCGGTCGCGTGTCGTGAGGTGTCCGTGATCACGTGACTCGCGCCGCAGCCGAAGCAGAGCAGAGAGCGACTCAAGGAGAACGTCTCATTCGCGCACCTTTATTTGAAAGCATGCATTTCATAGAAAGTGGGAACATAATTGTAAAAGCTGTGTGTTAACGCGCTCGTGTGCCGTATGTGCTGCAGATGATGTGTCACGCGTGAATATGCTACGCTTTATTCTGGACTGCCTGCGGCCGGCACGAGCGCGCGCTGCAGCCGCGACACGGTACACTAATGCGCGCGGCGTTATCTTTACGCATCTAAGTAGCTGCATGCCGTCTTAGCCTTTGAAATGCATTTTAATCGACATCCTTCAAAAATCATCACCACCTTTCACGTCGAGGTTATTCATGCACTGAAGTAATGCCATAATATTTGCATGCACTGTAGAAGTGTGATTCATCATCCTGACATCATCTGACACATGGGTTGCATAATTTGACTGTACACATCTTGCAGTAATCTCCTGATTGCATGCGCTTAATTGAGAGAATCGTGCTGAAATCTTGCAGAAGTATTGGCATTTCGGTTTGCTGCATTATGCATAGCCTATATGATATATAGCCTATGTGATATGTTTTCTTTACGTTATACTGTTTCAGGGACACGGAGCTTGAGGCTCAGGTCAACACTTCAGACGATAATGAAATCAAGGTACTGGGTTATTTTCTACGCTTGGTGTTGTTCATATGCACAGAGACTGATTTTTTTCCCAGTTCAACCCATATTCCTTTCATTTTTGGAGCGAATAGGTCATTTGTCGCAATTTCTTTAACCTTATTGCATCGCGTTTGGTGTGATGTGTCCTTTATCATCATGCTTCTATACTTTTATATTATTTTTCGTGATGTGTGTGTGTGTGTGTGTGTGCGCGCGTGTTAGTGTTGGAGATCAGCAACGTGTGATAGCATAAAGATAGTAGATATACAACGGTAGATGCCCATAGTGCATGATTTGTTTCAAAATCATATATGAGGTAAGAGTTAATTTTGCTCTTGACTCAAAACCCCACCTGCAGTGATTCAAATCTTTTTCTTAAAATAATATGTCTTGAGTAAGATATCCGTTAATATTTGTTCAAAATATCAATTTTTCAGCAAAGGTCAAATATATATATATTTTTAATAAATAGTTCAACATTTGTTAAAAAAAATACAGGCGTTAAATTAAATGTTTTATTGCCACCACTGTCATTAAAATATAAATTAATTTTAAAAATACAACAAAAATAAACAAAATAAAGATTCTGAAAGCTTTTTACATCACCTAACAGAGATCCCTTAATTTAATATGGCATTAGTACTAACACTAAATGCAATATTTGGACAAAAACAGTTTTAGTATAAATATGATGATTATGTCTCAGGAATACACACATTATCTCAACACGGTTAGACACCATACTGAATTTCACACATATGAAAACAAGGCTGTGAGGCTATGCTATTCTAAGCAGTTACTGAGTTCGAGTGCTTTTTGCCCCAAATATCATACTCTTACATTTACAGTATTGAAGAGCTGTTGATATAATTACCTAGAACAAAACTGAAAATCATTAAAATTAAGTCTAAAAATAATTTCAGCGATTCTCGTATAAATCAGCTATATAAATCTATAACATGTCTGTCTGCCCACATTTTCAGTTGCATTGGTTCTTTAAGTACCTTTTCCATTAATTTTCCCCTTAGGGATGAAAAAATAATAATTGTTAAAGCATTATGAGCCATACAAGGAGAATCACAACATTACAAACGTTGATTTGAAGCAAAAAAGTGAATGAAAATCAGACAAAAAGACTGTAATTTACGTTGTAGAGCAAAACGTCCAAGTATTGTCATATTAAATTTACTACAGACCTTGTTTCCCTCATAAATTGAAAACCCCATTAGAAAAACCCATCTTGCATTGGTGAATTATAAATCTTCCAGGTTTTGACGTCACGTCTGCAGCACTCAGTTTATAGTTTGACAGTTTTAATTAGGATGGCTAAATGTAAGCAAACATTGTGACCCACAATCTATGATTACAAATGATTTTCTTCTGCATACAAAGCATGAGAGTCCCCGGGTGTCCCTGCTGTTTATTTCTAGTCATTAGTGACAGGATCGTGATGCCTCGTCGTGCTTCTGTGTGTTAACTAATGATGGGTCATTCAATACCAGTTCATTCAGTGTGTCTGTCATGCAACAAATGAAGGAAAGACTCGAGGATGTGAACTAATCATTTGTGTTTGGCTGCATTTTAATGATCGAGTGATCAGAGATTGTGACTGTGATTGGGTGTGGTGAATTTGGCTATTGAAAGAATAACATTTGAACTTTAAAAAATGACTTGAATAAAGATGTGTTCATTTTGCTGAACAAGATCAAGAGAGAGAGAGTGAGTGGAATGATCTGATCTTCCTGTCACTAGAGTAAATGTGTTTAATGTTACGTTATGTTGTGCGAGAGTTTCTGTAACTAGCACTGAATACATTTGCATGCAAATGCAAATAACAGGTAAAAAATGACTTCTGTCTGCACTGGCATTAGCTCAGCGATTGCTTATTGAGTGAAGCAACATACACTGCATTCATAGACATCCACAAGCTTTACTGTTCAGCACAAATACTGAACCACAAAACCGTACATAAATAATAATAACTCTTTTAAATGTGAAACATACTATATTTGCAATGGTTTTGAAGCTTCATGAAGCAGTGCATCAAATGCGCCCATCACTCGCTAATAATGTGGTTTGTTTTTGTTTGATTGTTGGCAGTAAAAGCCCATTTTTTTCTAAAGCCCTGCACCTTAAAATGCTTTTATACTCTGCATGCCACTCCTCCAAAATGAGCTTTTCAATAAAGAACGCACCATAGCATTTCGAAGAGTTTTAACTTGGAATGTGTTTAAACTCATTTTGAATTTGTACTAATAATGCATATTATTATTCAAATATTTTTTAAAAATCAGTTTATATACACTGCCGTTCAAAAGTTTGGGGATGAAGTCTCTTCTGCTCATCGAGGTTGCATTTATTTTATCACAAATACAAAAAATAACAGTAATATTGTGAAATATTATTACAATTTAAAAATAACAGTTTTCTATTTTAATATTCTTTAAAATGTAATTTATTCCTGTGATGGTAAAGCTGAATTTTCAGCATCATTACTTAAGTCTTCGGTGCCACATGATCCTTCAGAAATCATTCTAATATGCTGATTTATTATCAATATTGGAAACAGTTGAGCTACTTAATTTTTTGGAAGCTGTGATACTTTTTTTAGGATTCTTTGATGAATAAAATGTTTATTCAAAATAGAAATCTTTTCAAACAATGTAAGTCTTTAATGTCACTTTTATCAGTTTAACATATCCTTGCTGAATAAAAGTATTAATTTCATTCAAAAAAGAGTGTACTGACCCCAAACTTTTGAACGGTCGTGTATATTGTTACAAAGGATTTCTATTTTTAATAAATGCTGTTCTTTTTAACTTTTTATTTATCAAAGAACCCTGAAAAAATATCACAGCTTCCCAAAAATATTAAGCAGCAATACCTGTTTGTGTATTTGGCAATTTCAGAATTGCATCTCCGTATAAAAACACTCCACTTGTAATAAAGTCGTGTCAAATTCAAATGGGTTGCATCACAACTCAGACTGGTTTGCACAGCACCTTTTAGCCAGATCTGATGAGGAAACATATCAGCTTGTTTTGCACAAGACTTTTAGGAGTTTTAGGAAAATTTGATTAAAGTTTACAAGGACATCAGGTGAACATATGCTTATGAATATATCCTCAGGGTCTGCAGGATGAGGTACACACGGAACAGGAGACTCTTCAGACGGTCAAGGCTTTGCGCCGTAACACACAGGAGACCGAGGAGATGCTGGAAAAGAGGAAGACACAGCTGAAGGAAAAACTGCAGATGATCTATGACCTCCAGAAACAGGAGAGAGAAGTGGTAAGCAAATGCTTCAAAGCCTTGAATTTGATGCGGGCAGCTACAGGTTGCCAGCTCTCTTTGTCTGATTAAATAAAAGGCTGTGTTCTGAATCATTGGCAAAGTCATGCTGGCGGGACGGCCAGACAAAAGAGCACTGCAGCAGTTAGACTTAAATGCCAAGAAATTAGTTGAAAGAGCTGCTCAGTCTGTGCCTGTTATGTTTCCTCTTATTTAATGTTTCCTCTTACACTGAGATTCCAAGTTTGCTGAAGATATACGATTAGAGATTGATAATTGATTGAACAGTTGATACACTTTTCTAAATGTGTTGGGTCTCTAATAGCTTACAAGCAGCATTAGAGCACTGTGCGTTCAACAAGAAACAGCAGTGTGTTCACAGGAGATTCACTTTATTTAATGCATTTTTCTGTTTTGTCATCACGCCGGATCTGGGTCAGCGCCACCACATGCAACGCGAGTCATGGTACTGTCGTGAATGCGCATCCACAAGTGACGCAGTAGAGACGAAAATGTGGAATAAAGTCGTTATTTTTGTTTTCTTTGTGCAAAAAAAGTATTCTCGTAGCTTCATAAAATTATGGTTTAACCACTGATGTCACATGGACTATTTTAATGATGTCTTTACTATCTTTCTGGGCCTTGAACGTGGTAGTTACGTTGCTGTCTATGCAGGGTCAGAAAGCTCTCACATTTCATTAAAAATATCTTCATTTGTGTCTTACGTGGTAGTTACCTTGCTGTCTATGGGAGGGTCAGAGAGCCCTCAGATTTCATCAGAAATATCTTAAATTGTGTTCCAAAGATGAACGAAGGTCTTACAGGTTTGGAACAACACGAGGGTGAGTAGTTAATGACAGAATTTTCATTTTTGGGTGAACTAACACTTTAACAGCGATAGCTGGATGCTTTTGTCCATATTAGGGATTTCCTGGCATGTCATAAGTTATTATTACTTCTATGAGGCCTTTTTGGACTTTCTGTGCCAGAGCGCTCTCCGGCTTTGAGTATGAATGAAACAGACACTGCATGAGAGTGTTCAGCGCTCCGTAATGATCTGAACACATATGCCCCGTATTCCCCAGAAAGCCATTAGTTGGCATATCAATTACTTCTCAGAAAGGACGTAGATGAGATTTGCAGTTGATTAGTACTTGAAGCTTAAAGGTCCCATGGCATGAAAATGTCACTTTATGAGGTTTTTTAACATTAATATGAGTTCCCCTAGCCTGCCTATGGTCCCCCAGTGGCTAGAAATGGCGATAGGTGTAAACCGAGCCCTGGGTATCCTGCTTCTCCTTTGAGAAAATGAAAGCTCAGATGGCCCAATCTGGAATCTTCCCTTTATGTCGTCATACGGGGAAAGGTTACCTCCCCTTTCTCTGCTTTGCCCGCCCAGAGAATTTGGCCCGCCCATGAGAAAATGAGCTACTACCGTGCGAGGCGAGCGCAATATTTTTTTTTCCTCGAGAGACATCATGACTTGCAAACGAGCGAAGCATGGCAGTTGCTCCGCCTCTTTCCTCCTCATTAGCATTTAAAGCTACAGACACAGAAATGGCACGTCCTAAGGAAAGCTCATTGTGGGACTGGCTCGTAGTGGCTGAAATTCTGCACCAAGGCTGAATTTCGGGAAAGAGACTTCAGATACAGTACTAGGGACCACTTAGGCCTATTAAAAGCATCTAAAAAGCAGCATGTCATGGGACCTTTAAGACATTATTGATGGAGTTGTAGAAGAAAGGAGACTTACTGGTTTTTGAACGGACTAACAACATGGTGTATCTACAGTAGATGCAAAACTAAAGGAGTTTAAAGCTTCCCTGGAGGAACAACCAACACTCTCAAAAAAAAAGGTACAAAAGTTGTCACTGCTGCGGTACCTTTTCAAAAGGTACACCTTTGTACCTAAAGAGTCCATATTGGTACATTAAAGGTACATATTAGTAACTCAAATGTACATATTAGTACTTAAAATGTACAAAAGTGTACCTTTTGAAAAGGTACTGCCCCAGTACTGCAACTTTTGTACCTTTTTTTCTGAAAGTGAACCATATATGGAAGAACCATATTGGATTGCAGAGGATCTGTCTAAGGCTCAGATTGCCATCATTTCTTTAAATCAACAGTTCCAAGAGGTAATAGTTGTGTTTAGAGATGGAAGTTGTGGAGTCAGAAAGGATAGTATTGTCTACAAATTGGATATTGTATTAGACAATGGTGTGCTAAGAGTAGAAGGAAGACTTAATAAGTCAGCAATGCCTGCTGAGACTAAACAATTCATCTTATACTTCGAGGCATTCATGAACATTTGGTGGTAGACATCAGATGCCCTCTAAGCTTTGTCACAACACAGATGTTACAGATGTTACCTCAGTTGCAAGAAATATCATATCCAAGTGTTTTGTCAGTAGACACTACAAAGGGAAGTTAGATGCTCCAGAGTGATTTTCACTTAAACGGCAAGCTGAGCAGTGCACTTGGAAACAGCTTACTGGATTCAGACTCATGCATCAATGCTGTGCACAGAGTATCGAGTTCAAATCCCAGCTCTGATTCCCAATTTGCTACCAGTCCACGCTCTACACACTGTCTGAAAAAACTAAACAAAATCCAAATAAGAATCTTAAAGTGGCTCACAAAAGGTCAGATAATGGCACAGCTTTTATAAGTGCTGGCAGACAGTTAAAAGAAGCTCTCACTGCTTTGAATGTTGGTGGATCTTCACAAAGACATTCTCGACAGAACGCAGAATCCAAGAGTGCTTCTCAAACGGAAGGCTGCATTCTACTGAAGCTGCGTCCTACCTAGGAGACTTATAGGTTAGAGTCCTCCTGGGTATTAAAAGCTAGAATGAGACGGTCTAGTAAGTGCGTGTGCTAAGTCACAAATGTTCCCGCCCTCACCGTCAAGACACAAAAATACTAATAAAACATAATTTTGGAAAAATACTTTGGATTATAAATCTTAATATTATTTGGCTTTCTATTAATGCAATGCAATGAATCGCAGCCCTCTCCAGTCTCCCAGTGGCTTACATTATTGGTTTACGTGAGTAATTTACACACAAAAAAAAGATAACATTTATGCTTTCGTGTCTGAAAACAATATTTTGTCTTACGTTTCAAACTAAAACTCAGTACTGACTCGTTTTTTTGCCAGTTTATTTTCGTGAATTGGAATGTGTATAAAGGATTGTGGGTGACTGAAGGTCGCGAAGGATACATCCCATGCATCCTTCAAATTCAGCTGAATGAAGGATGTGAAATGAGACGGCCTTCAGAGACATTTGATTATGCGGCAGCCGAGATATGCAGCCTTCTGTTTGAGAAGCACGCCAAGAGTCACCATGTGCACCATACTTCCTTCTTCTTCTTTTGTTTAATGGTTTAACTGTTTAATTTTGTTTATTAGTGCGTATTGCCTCCTACTGGGTGGTTATGCAACAATTTTTAATCTTATCTTTTAATATGTAGTCTTTAAGTAGTTTGTTTCTGTAAACAAGAATTACCATATATTGGTTGTTTGATGCTATATATACTGTAAATAAAAAATAGAAAGACTGACTGAACTTAAAACAATCTGTGCTTGCAAAGGTAATATGGATGGATGAGTTTGTTTGACCATTTTAAATCTACATTTGTTGTTTATTTTTATTATAGAAATTCATTATATAGAAAATGAAAAATAAATTTAAAAAAATGTTTAAATGCAGATGATCGATGTGAGATGAGAATAAAATAAATTTGAGTTTAGAGTAAATTAGAGTAAAATAAACATTGCATTATGTTATAATAGTGCTTTATAATTAAGAACAAATCAAACATAATAAACATATTGCATGGCCTTTTACTGTATGTTAGGATGCAAATACAATCTGCCACTAATTGCATCATATTTGGGGTATAAATGATTTATCTCATTATGTGCACCAGGGTGCAGACAGCATATAGTATAATATTTGGGTGATGCCATCTGTGTGTGTGTTTGTGTGCAGCTGCAGTCGCTGCAGGAGGAGCAACAGGAGCTGGAGCAGACAGTCCAGCAGTATGATGTGGAGCTGTGTGCCGCGGCTGAAGATCTCCTGCAGCTCCAGCGGGAAGTGGCTTACGCCAAAGCACACGCAGAAAGCCTGCATCTACGCGTCACTCCGCTGCAGGACTTATTCGAGGAGATTATACAGGTCACAGTTCGGTCACCCTTGTCTGTCTCTCTACCAGTTCACCCAAAATGTTTTGTAATATTTCTGATCCTGTGAGGAGGTGAAAGCTTTAAATTAAAAAGTGTAAACATTCCATTGACTTCTAATCAGTTTGGGGGAGTAACTAGTTGCATGTAACTGTGCTACGTAATTTAATTACATAGTAACTGTAATCCGTTACAGTTACTGAGAAAAAAGTGTAATTAAATTACAGTTACTTATGAAAATGTTAACGGTTACCAAGGAGGTTACATCTGTAAAAACCTAGGATATGTTAAATAATGTTAATATTAGTTGGTTGCTTTGCCTGTTTTTTTTTTGATGTGCACCAAGCCTCCTGCCATTTAAAGACTGTTTAGTAAAGCGATGCTTTTGATTGGTTCTCTTGTTTGAATTTGCAGTGCACCATTATTTTTAGGGACTTATTATATTTTAGGGATAGGGTTTGAGTTAAGGGCTATTGTCAAATGTTTCTTTTTATTTTATTATCCAATTAAAATAGCTGAAACCAATTTGTAAAAAAAAAAAAAAAAAAAAAGGTTATAAGTGGTTTTAGAT